TTTTTGTCTTCTTCGGTACCTAGGTTGATTGTATCCACGGGTTCTTCGTGAGGCTGAATGGTTCTCTCTTCTTGTTGTAATAGTATGGCAAGTTCTCCTGGTACTTCACAATCTTCCTCACCTTCGTCTTCAGCTTGGTAGATTAGATTCTCAGAATCACAAAAGGCCATAGCAGTGTCGTTACCCAAGGGATCTTGAATGGATGTATACATGCATTGTGAGTGTGAGTGTGTGTAAGGGTATAACTATCCTTGAAAGAAATAAAAATGAAAAAATAAAAAAAATGAGCATAAAAGTTTGTATGCGAAAAAGTCCATGATTCATTGATGTCATATGAAAATGAGATAATAACCCTTACAAATGGACCATTTGTGCCTCGGGTAAGACACAAGGTTTTAAGAGTGAGAATTGTTTTAATGTTACAGATCCAACAAAATGTAAAGACAAATTACTGTGCGATAAAAGTGATCGAGACAAAATCTCTAGCCTCCCAGTTGCTGAGCCCTCCATTGACAGTTGGGAATATCCAGTCCTCCAAGTCATAGCTATCTTCATCATCTTCTACAATGTTGACCTCGCGGTTGCTGATCTTTAGGGGTGGTCCTCCGGCACGAGTGTGGCGTACAGCCTTCTGAGCACTTGAAGTGAAACCCAGTCCAAACTTGTCAGACTTATATGGGATATCTGGGAGTTGTCCCCAGATAGTGCACCCACCTTCTTCTACCACTACTTTGGCATCCTTCAGAGATGACATCCGGAGTGGAGGCCTTGTGATCTTCGGAACAACCTTGGTTACTGCCACATCTTGCAGGACCTCTTCAAAGTGTTGAAATGGAGTTTCAATAAATTCACCATCTAATTCCACATATCTGAAGGAATTGAGATGGGTGATCATATACTCTTATTCTCAATGAACGGTGATAATCTTCCCTTGAATCAGATATTTCAACATTTGGTGCAACGTAGAAGTGACAGCGCCAGCATTGTGAATCCATGGTCGGCCTAGCAAGCAGGAATATGAGGGGCGGATATCCATTACATAGAAAGTTGAATCAAAAGTTTGTGTTCCAACTTTTATGGGAATGTCTACCTCCCCATGTACCATCCTTTTTGAGCCGTTAAAAGCCCTTACTACTATGTTACTTGGCTTCAATGTCAATCCCTCACAGTCAATCCTATCAAGAGCTTTTTTAGGCAATACATTCAGAGATGAGACAGTGTCTACCAAAACATGAGCCAAGGTTGTGCCCCTACATTCAACTGAGACATGCAATGCCTCATTATGCTTCCTTCCTCTTGGCGTAAATCAGCATCTGAAAAACCTAGACCATTATCTGCAGTCAAGCTGGCTACGCATTCTTGAAACTAATCGGCAGATGTCTCTTGGGGTACATGGGCAGTTTTCAGGAATTTTACCAAGGCTTTTGCATGCACCTCGGAACATAGTAGTAATGCCAGCATGGAAATTTTAGAGGGAGTTTTCCCCAGTTGTTCAACTACATCATAGTCGCTTCTTTTTATAATCTTCAGAATTTCCTCCATCTCTTTTCGGGAGGTCTAAGGATAGCCAATGACTGAGCCTTCGTCCGGACAGGCTCAATCAGAATACTTTTACCTCGAGTCTCGGTTAACTCGGCAGCAGGAGTGTTAGTAGGAATGATAACAGGGGTTGTAACAGCTTTGTTAGTTGGAGTATTGGCTGAGATGATTGTAGAATCGGGAACAGCTTTTGGGGGAGCATTAGCAGGAATGATTACGGGTCCAGAAACTGCTTTTGGGGGAGCAATTTTTGGAGAGAATATCCTTCCGCTTCGAGTAATCTTGCTAGTTCCTGCAATATTACTGATGTCGCAGTTGACTTTCTCAGAGCTTGAATCTTCGGCGGCTGGCCAGTCCTTCTTGATACCATGGTAGTAGACATCCCCTCCATAATTCCATGGTATGGTTTTGTCTAACGAATATGGGACTAGTCCAGGCATTGTACTTATTAAAGGAGTTGCTTTTGGAACTGATGTAATTCTAACGGCTCTTTTGGTGGAGACCCTGGAAGAGTTGGCGGAAATGGTAATGATAGAAACATCTTCAAAAGGAACAGGTGGAGAAGAAGTCTTCTCGAATGAAATTTCTTTGTTATCTATTAGGCACTGAACGCCTGCTTTCAACAAAGGACAGATGGTTGGTGAGGACAAACAAAAATGGCAAACTTCATCACAGCCCGGGAACACACCGACATTCAAAAGGTTCACTTTAATAGTCAGAAGTGGGGTCATAAGTTCATCAACTGAAGTAACAAACATTTCTTCTTCAATGGCATTGGTATTATGGCCATGTCTGGGCATAGGGGCAGAAATGACATTTGGCTTTTCGGGCGCATCGAATTCAATCTATTTTGCTTCAATGAGGTCTTGTATTTTATTCTTTAGAGCCCAACAGTTATTAGTGTCATGGTCGAGACTCTCAGAGTGATATGCACAACGAGCATTAGGATGATAGTGAGGAGATGTTGTGTTGGGGTTTTTCGGAGCTTCTTTCAAGGTCACCAAATTGGATCTTAGTAGATGCGGTAATACCTTAGATAGGGACATGTTAATTCTGGTGAATTGTCTGACGGGCCTTTCCATCCTTGGTTGGTTATTTCTTTGTTGATCAGGCGCCGATTTAGGAATCATAACAGCCCCACCATTGGTTGGCTTTCGGCTCTATCTTGATTTCTCTGAGGATAAACAACAACCATTTCTTTCTTTCTGATAAATGGATTCCTTATGGCGGCAGAGGAGGATGTATCTTTTTGGATCTTTCCATTCTTTATGCCGGCTTCTACCCTTTCTCTGGTCAATATTAGTTCAGTAAAACCTGCAGATGAACTTCCAATTAAATGATTGAAGAAGGGACCAGACAAGGTGCCCAAGAACATGTCTACCAATTCTCTCTCAGATAGAGGTGTAATACCCCAAATTTGTCCTACCCTTTTACTTCCTATCTGGCTTACGCATTTTTGCATTTTTTTTGCACATATATAATTTCCATTAGGTCATCTAACACATCATGCATCATTAATGAATAAATTGGCATAAGATCATGGATTTCGAGGAATAAGGGTTGGTGTATGGCTTTAAGGCTCTCATCTTCGCACAAGCTTGTTTCAGTTGATTTCTCCATTAATAATTTGTTTGAAGCTAGGTTTTCATTTCATGGACCTTATCATCATCAAGCTACGGGGCTATTCTTTTCTTCTCAATGACAAGTTACAAGGTTTTATGAGACGAAGCTAAAAATCAGGGTTTATACATTTTCATACTTGAGCTTGTCAGCATTCTACCCGAGGTTCATTCCATATCAAGATATTCGCATGTCTCATCTTTCATATTCATCCACAAAGAATCCCTCAGGGCATAGTCATTATCATCTATTGAGAAGGGGTCCAAGACGTCGTTATTCTAGTACTCATATAGTCGGGACATGGTACAAGATGTTGATTGTGACCAAGGTGTCATTATTTCAAATGCTTATTGCTTGACACGCAAATTTGGTTTAGATCAGAAAATTGAATTGAATTAGGGATTCACTGAAGCTGTAGTTTGATTAGAATTCATTCATTAATATTTGAAGTGGGTTTGGACAAAATCAAAGTTCTTAAATATTTGCGTGGCTTTTTTTGGAATTCAAACCACAAGTATGAAAAAGCATGCATAAAATTCATCCAACCATCAAAATATCGTCCAAATAGCCTTTCTTGGATTCATTCAAGATTCTTGTCTCTTTTGATTACCTTGCAAATATTTTGGATTCATACCATTTATTTGAATTCATACAAAGGCCATTTCATTATGTGGAAATAAAGTCAACATACATTCCAATATGTATTCAAATACATACAAGTCCAAATTCCATTACAATTATACATAACATCTATACATTTTTACCAAAACCTATCCTAATTTTCAACCATTCTTCATGTTTCAAACTTCAAGCTTCCAAAACTTCGTGTTATGCGTCTTTGTTCCAACTTCATATCATCTTGGTGTTTTCCTTTTGTCTTTGCTTCCCAATAGCCCTGATATGAACCAAACCTACAAAAATATTGGATAAACTGTCATAATCATGAACCGCATACACTACACTTCCAATTGTAAAAACCAATTCCGTAACCCAAAAAATAGAGGCAGCCCTGCACATAAATTTTATAACAAAGTAACTTACAGCACCATAATCTATAACTAATTGCTAACCGATTTCTTCATTAACCAACCAAAACTAACAGATTCATAACTAACTTTTCCCTAACTTCTAACTGTAACCAACCTATACCCAATTCCCTAACTCATAACAGAACTAACTGTAACAGCCCCATAACTAACATTCAATAACACTGCAAAACAGAATAACTACCATAACATCTAACAAACAGCATAACTAACAACAACCAAAACTGTTATAACAACCTCTCTAACAACCCCTAACCAAAATTCTAAACAACTAACAGAATCTCTAACAATAACAAAACAGAATAACTACCATAACAGATCCAAACCAGCTAATTTAACATTCCAACAAACTTCCAGCATATACATAAATATACACAGAATACAGGGAGATTTTGGGGGGGATTGAAAAAAACAAAAAGTCAGAATATTTATCCCTGGAAAACTCACCGGAAAGGGATTTTTCGTCAATCATTTTCAGAAGAATCACAAGCTTCTCTCTGCTTCCTTCTTCAACCTTCCACAGTTTTTCACTCATTAGAAAAATCAACGAATCTCAGTCTCAATTCTCTCTCTCGCTGAAATCTCCAGAACCCTTTATTCATCAACCGTCACATTCTGTGAATTTTTCTGACTTACCGCTTCAATCTGCACGCACAAAATCAACTGCAAAATACAACAATCTTCATCTTCATCATCATTATCATCAAAAATCTCAGAACTTCTTCAACAATTCTCTCTTTGAAAAAAGCTCTTTAAACTCCCTCTGCATCTTTAACATTCATCATCATCTTCACATTAAACTTCAACGCACTTCATCATCTTCACATCAACCTACAACATCAACGCATCATCACAATATCAATGTGCACAACAATTTCAATCACCAATGTTCAACGTAGCAACATCATGGTAACATCACAACAACACGCACTAGAACAACAGCAAAATGCAAAAGCAGAAGAATGAGGAGAAGAAAAGAGATCCTTACCTGAAGGTGGATTACCGGCGCGGCGGAGATCATCGGAAAAGGTAGATCGGAGAAGAAGCGAAGACGGTGCTCACTGAAGCAATCACGAATGACGTCGAACGGAAGAAGAAGACGACGGAAGAGATGTCTGCCGGCGCGACGGAGATGGAATCGAAGACCGTTTCGCGATGGAGGAAGCGCGGAAATAAGAAGCGAACGCGGAGAAGAACGAAGAGAGTACAGTGGCGGCATGATTTACGGCGGAGATGGAATCGAAAATCGTAAGAGATGGATGAAGAAGAAGGCGACGGAAGAAGAAGGCGACGGAAGAAGAGGCCGCGCCGTTCGATTCTGTTCGTGGTGGAGGAGGAAGAAGCAACTCAGTCTTCCTAACCCTAATTACACGTTTTATCCCTTTCCAATTTCATTTTATTTATTCTTTTATTTATTTATTTGTGATATAATTGTTGATAGAAATGAACAAAGAATATATCATGTTGTCATTTTTGGGCCAAACTAATCAATTCCTGGACTATGATTATTTTTATTTTTTTGTTGATTGTGTCTATTTTTGATGGGGCCTAATGTCATTGCATTTTTTTTGCAGCACATATTTCTAGACTTCATACCCCCTAACTCTTCTAATTTTTTCTTTTCTTTTATTATTTTAGTTTGTTCTTTTAGTCTAATTTTTTTCCTCTCAATTGATACAAAATAATAGAATATTTTAGATTTCTTTAGAATTTCTTTTTAGAATTTCGATTAGAATTTTTTTCTATTTTATTTTTCATATTTGGTAATCATTCTTATTGACTTTTTTTAGTCAAGATTTTTGTGATAGCATTGATATAACTCTTGAAATGTGGAATACTCGGGGTTAATTCTTCAATCACTTGCCCAAGGGAACTTTGATAGAATTTCCTTACCGCTTGCATAATTTTGGAGAGGCAACGGACCTTCTCCGTTCGGTATCGTCACAATTCTATTTTATTCTTTATTTCAGTACTTTATCGCAAACCATATGCGTGCTGACATTAGGTAGAATTCCCTCATTCATTCTAACTTTAGGGCTAACGATACATAATAACATTAGGTTTAGAAATAGGCTAATTCTCCTTTAGATTTTCTTTCTCCTTTTGCATTCGCACCTAAAACTAAAACTTCCTTTTTCTTTTCGAAATTCAAAAACACTTTAAAACTACTGATGAGAATCATGCTTTTGCTTAGTACGGGAAATGATAAGCGGGTCTCTTCTCGATCTTATTGTTCTTCATCTCAAGCATAGGTGTGGTTCAATTCTCAAAGACTCCTTTCATGACTAAGTAGAAAAATGGCTAATATCTCTCTCTTGAGGTCGACTAGTCATTATCTACAACAAAAATACAAAACAAAATCAAATCTTTTGTGCGCTCGAGCACCTTTTCTTTTAAACCCTTTTCAGGTAAGGACACGATTGATTTACTTATGTACCAATGCATAAGTCTCCAAAGGTCGAGCTGCGGCAGAAGGTGGAATTAACTTCGTCCACAAAAAACATCTATAACAAAATATAAACCAACTCAAATCTTTTGTGCGCTTGAGCACTTTTCTTTAAAAACCTTTTCAGGTAAGGACACGATTAATTTACTTATGTGCCAACGCATAAGTCTCCAAAGGTCGAGTTGCGGCAGAAGGCGGAATTAACTTCGTCCATAAAAAAACACAAAACAAACAAAAACATATGAGCCGAACTACGGTAGCTCTGATTCCTCAAAACGGATACGTAGGCATTGGGGTAGGGCCAAAGCGAGCACAATTTCATTTTCCCTACATTATTTTCTCCTTTCTTTTGCATGCATTCCTTTCAGTAGTATAGTAGACAGTAAGCATAGATTGAACACACCTATAAGATGGATAACAATAGTGGATACCGTAGAGTACTACGGGCGTGTGGGGTGCTAATACCTTCCCCTCGCGTAACAGACTCCCTTACCTGATCTCTCAGTCGCAAGACCGTGACTTCTCCCTCATCAGGTTTTCTCGATGTTTACCTTTCCCTACATGTGGGATAATAGACGTTCGATGGCGACTTCATTGTTTGATGATTTTCAGCCGGTTGTTTCAGCTGGCGACTTCACTGGGGATAGGTCGACCAAATGCTGGTCCATCCCGGAGTCGCTCCTAGCTCTTAGTTTCTTTCCTTAGGGTGTTTATTTTTATGCTTTCAGTTTACTCATCCGTACATGTTTATCTGAGCATAAGTTTGCATTGCATTTTATGGCTTTCCATATTTGTTATCTATTATGCTGGACTCTGTTCTCTATGTTGGGTGGGGATGTCACTTCTGACGTAAAAGGCCCAGTACCCAGGCCAGAGTGCACTAGGACACCTAGGAATAGAGTGGGGGCATGACGGCTATAGGACGTGGTCCGGTTAGTGCAGTCATGTCATATACCACGCTCGGATGAGGTCCAAATGAATTACTATCGGCACCCACATCTGTGGTCAAGCCCATAGCACTTTCAGGCGAACCCATGATTTTCGAGTTACCATTATCTTACCCTGACCTAGTTTTCACTCGTGAGTGGGGATGGAATTTCTATCACAGGTACAGATGGTGACTATGTGCAGATGGTTACTCGTGCTCAGATGGTAACTATGCTCAGACAATGACTACTGATTCTAATGGCTATATTCTAGATTTCTGTTAAGACTTGATGCAGATGCTATATCTTGTTGGTGACCGTATGCTTCTCAGATTTATTTTTTGAGATCCTGACTTGTTTACCTGGAGGTTCATTCAATCCTTCAATCTTGGTATTCCCAGCATGTTCAGAAATTCTCAACAGTATCCAATGTTCCAGAAGCCTTGATCCCGGACAATGGGAGATCCACAGGGTACTTGGTTCTTATATATGCAGAAGTTATGTCGGACCTCTAATCTGATGATACTCACATGATCCAGAGCAGTGCAGCAACCTTATTCCGGAATGATGGAATCTTGATCCTCTTTGATCTCATGCCTTTGCATACATGACATGGCTAACCACATGCTTAACATACATGTTCGGTTATTTCCAAGGAATCACATTTGCAAGCCTTGTGCTAAACTTTTCCATACCTTACTTGCGCAAAATCAAAATCAAAGCGCGCAAATTCTTTGGAAATGGCAGAACATGACATGGCATTCATTCATGCACCCCATGCATATTCATGCATTCATGACAGGTACCCGAAGATTGGGGATTCTTATTCAGACCTGGGGTTCTCTTCAAAGGTTCAACCTGATTTCTCACCTCACATGCTCAGGGATCAGTTATGGAATAACTCTGAGTGGTACATGCAAGCTTTGGCTCATAGTCAGAAACTTCTTCAAGCAGGAAGATAATGGATTAAAGAGTCAGATAAGCCAGGTCATGGAAACTCTAATGATGATGTCTATTATTTCTTTAAGACATGATGTGCTTGGTGATGCATATTATACTGGGGCACTTGGCCAATCGATTGAAGATGGTATGTCATCCAAAGACAATGTCCAAGACTGGATCAATTCAGAGACTGTTGTGTTCACATCAAGTCTGAAAGGGGATTCTCTCGCACACTCGAGCTTCAAGACTACAGAAAGTCGTCAGAATCAGCAAGTCCATACGGAGTCAAGTCTCCTCAACAGTGGAAATCATTGGTTTCTTTAATGCATTTTCATTTGCATTCTTGCTTGTTTGTTTAAACATTGCTTGTATATAGAAACTTGTCTATTTTTGAACGAAAATCTTAATGCAATAAGTATGCTTGTCTTGAAGTGTTCCTTTCATTTTTACTCATCCATTTGTTATCACTCTTTAAATGTTTTGCTTGCATATTGATTCCAGATTTCCTAGTCTTATGCTTAGGTAAAGATTCAAAGGAGGATGATGATAATCTGAAAATGCAAAATCTCCGATTGGTACGCTTTTGAGTGAGACCCTGCTAACGATGTACATGCCTTGTTTCTATTCCTAAACACCGGAGATATAAGGGAGATAGACCCTCGTCAACCCCTCTGAGCCTTCGAAGTAGGAGTTTCCTTTCTGTTCAAAAAAAACCCTCATTTCAACCATGGGGCGGGTAGTGTTCAGCTAATCTAATCAAGCATTCAGAACTCATCAAGAGTGTGCATCCAAGGATACGACAATGGTTATCCATCAAAAGGTTGAGAAAAGTCAAAACCACAATGGTTAACCTTCATCTAACAACAATGTGTGTCTATTGACTATATCCCAATGGGTATCTCTCGCACATCAGGAGCTCAACAAATGACGATACTAAAGACTCAGGCAGTCACGATCACTTCCGACAAATCAAAAACAACGCAAAGATCAACGACTTGTTCAAAATGAAAAAATACGAATAAAAAAGGAAACAAAAATCCTCGCTAAGTCGAAACTTGAAAACAAGTCACTTAGGCAAAAATTGGGGAATCCCGCTGGACTTCCAAATCGAAATTCAAAAGAATTTGTCCAGGCAAAAATTAGGGAAAGCAAGAAAGAAATCGAAAAGCCTAAAAGGCGAGAAAAGGATTACCAACGAAAATCCTCATCAAAGAACAAAGTCGTCTGATCAGAACCAAAGGCAAAGAAGTTAGTGACTGTCGTGTCCAAGAAACCACGGCGGTTCCTCAATCATTGCAAACTCTTCTCGAGAGATGAACGCTTATATCAGGTCAACTGAACGTAGGAATGGAGAACATCATGGAGAATGGGTAGGCACCAAATAATTTTGAGCCTTAAAACCTTTTTTCTAAAACCGTGAACCAGGCCACGTTACAACCCATAAAAGTCCTAATTGAAGCATGGGTCAATTTGAAAGCGTGCTACAACGAGATAGCGTTTAACTGACTCCTAAGAGGTATGTTTGAATATCTGTGTTGGCATCATATGCTTGAATTATCTTTCATAAAAAAGAATTTGCAAATGTTTCTCTCTAGCTAGTGACTCGTTCACAACCGAGTTGTGATGTCATTTCATTCAAAGTTTTTTCAAACTTCAAGACTTACATATGTGTTGCATTAGAATTATCATTCTCATAATAAACATTCTTCTGCATACAAAACAACTGATCAACATCAAGTAAGTTTACACAATGAACAATCAGTGAAGAGCTCAATCTTGTCAGAGAAGAGAGGCTTGAATACCTTGTTGAAGTAAGAGTCAGCTTCCACAAGAGAAATGACTTATCCAGTAGCATGTTGACCGGTGATTCTGTCAAGAGATATCATCTTAGTACTTCACAGTCTG